TAGCCAACACTAAAATGAACTAAACCTACTAATCTGGCTTGAACAATCGATAAAGCTACTGGTTTATCACGCCAACGAATTAAATTGGCTAATGGTGTACGTTCATGAGCCCAAACTAATGTTTCAATTAATTCTTGCCAATAACCACGCCATGAAATTAAGAACATAAATCCTGTTGCCCAGATTAAATGAGCAAATAAGAAAGTCCATGCCCAAACAGATAAATTATTCATCCCAAATGGATTGTAACCATTGATCAATGGTGATGAATTTAACCATAAATAGTCTCTTAACCAACCCATGATATAATTTGATGACTCGTTAAATTGACCTGGATTACCACCCCAAATTGCCATATGTTTCCAATGCCAATAGAATGTAACCCAACCAATTGTATTTAACATCCAGAACATCGCTAAATAGAAAGCATCCCATGCTGAAATATCACATGTACCACCACGACCTGGTCCATCACAAGGAAAACTATAACCAAAGTCTTTCTTATCTGGCATTAATTTTGAACCCCGTGCATCTAATGCACCTTTTACTAAAATTAAAGCTGTTACATGTAATCCTAAAGCAATTGCATGATGAACTAAAAAATCACCTGGACCAATTGTTAAGAATAAATCATTTTTATCATTATTAATTGCCTCAATCCAACCTGGTAACCAAACTTGGTTTCCTGCAATCGTTGCTGGACTGGTCGACGACGATAATAAAACATCAAATTGGTATACAGCTTTTCCTGATGCAGCCTGGATATATTCTGCAAAAACTGGCTCAAATAAAATTTGTTTCTCTGGTTGGCCAAATGCAACAACTGTATCATTATGAATATATAAACCTAATGTATGGAAACCTAAGAATAAAGATGCCCAACTTAAATGAGAGATAATGGCTTCTTTATGTTCTAACATTCGAGCTAATACATTATTTTTGTTTAATTCTGGATCATAATCTCGCACAAAAAAAATTGCTCCGTGTGCAAACGCACCAACCATTAAAAATCCAGCAATATATTGATGATGTGTATATAAAGCTGCTTCTGTAGTGAAATCTTTTGATAAAAAGGCATATGGAGTTAATGCATAAATATGCTGAGCTGTTAATGATGTAGCTACACCTAAGGCAGCTAATGCTAAACCTAATTGCATATGTAATGAATTTGTAATGGTTTGAAATAACCCAACATGACCCGCCCCTAATCGTCCTCCAGGAGGTCGATGAGCGTCTAATATTTCTTTCATGTTATGACCAATACCAAAGTTTGTGCGATACATGTGACCAGCAACAATAAACACAACCGCAATTGCTAATTGATGATGAGCAATATCCGTCAACCATAAAGATTGTGTTTGGGGATGAAAACCGCCTAAAAAAGTTAAAATAGCTGTTCCGGCTCCTTCAGAGGTCCCATAAATATGGTTAGCTGTATCCGGATTTTCTGCATAAGCTGTCCAATTACCAGTAAAAAATGGAGTTAACCCGGCTGGATGTGGAGGAGTTGTTAAAAAGTTATTCCATCCAATATGAATTCCGCGAGATGCGGGAATTGCCACATGCACTAAATGTCCAGTCCAAGCTAATGAACTAACACCAAATAATCCTGATAGATGATGATTTAAACGTGATTCATTATTTTTAAACCATGATAAGCTTGGACGAAACTTTGGTTGTAAATGTAACCAACCAGCAATTAATAATACACATGATAATAATAATAGTCCAATTGAACCCGCATATAATTCTTGATTTGTTCGGAAGCCAATTGTATACCACCAATGATAAACACCAGAATATGCAAAATTAACAGGATAGGTATTACCTTTACTAAATGCTTTTAATGCTGATTCACCAAAATGCGGATCCCAAATTGAATGCGCAATTGGTTTTACTTTTAATGGATTGCCAACCCATTTTTCAAAATTTCCTTGCCATGCAACATGGAATAAATTTCCAGAAGTCCATAAAAAAATAATTGCTAAATGACCAAAGTGCGAAGCGAAAATTTTTTGATATAAATTCTCTTCAGTCATACCATCATGTGCTTCTAGATCATGAGCAGTTGCAATTCCATACCAAATTCTTCTTGTTGCTGGATCTTGTGCTAGGGCTTGGCTAAATTTTGGGAATTTAGTTGCCATAATTATTAAATATCTTATTTATATAAATTTTAGTTATTGCGGAAACGATTAAATTGAATTTATTTTAACTGATCGATACCGCACGAGCCAGGAAGAACGACCATGTCGTACCAATGCCGCCAAGTAAATAATGAGCTAACCCAACCGCACGTCCTTGAGTAATACTTAATGCCCGAGGTTGAATTGCAGGAGCAAAATTCAATTTGTTATGAGCCCATACAATTGATTCGATTAACTCTTGCCAGTAACCACGACCGCTAAATAAAAACATTAAACTAAATGCCCAGATAAAATGAGCGCCTAAGAAAATGAGACCATATGCAGATGATGCTGATCCATATGATTGAATTACTTGCGAAGCTTGTGACCATAAGAAATCACGTAACCAACCATTAATGGTAATAGCACCTTTTGCAAAATTACCACCTGTAATATGAGAAATACTACCATCTGGTGAAATAGTTCCCCATACATCAGATTGCATTTTCCAACTGAAATGGAAAATCACAACTGAAAGTGAATTATACATCCAAAATAAACCTAAAAATACATGATCCCAACTTGAACTTTGACATGTACCACCACGACCTGGACCATCACAAGGAAATCGGAAACCTAAATTTGCTTTGTCTGGAATTAATTTTGAACTACGTGCATATAACACACCTTTTAATAAAATTAAAACTGTTACATGAATAGTAAAAGCATGAATATGGTGAACCATAAAATCAGCAGTTCCTAGTTTAATAGGCATCATTGCAATTTTTCCACCAATTTCTACAACTTCCCCACCGAAAGCATAACTTGTTGTAGCTAATGCATTCGGGGCCGTTGTCCCTGGTGCTAATAAATGAATATTTTGGATCCATTGTGCAAAAATTGGTTGTAACTGAATTGCTTTATCTGAAAACATATCTTGTGGTCGACCTAATGCACGCATTGTATCATTGTGAATATAAAATCCGAATGCATGACATCCTAAAAAAATACAGACCCAATTTAAATGTGATATGATTGCATCACGATGACGCAAAACCCGGTCTAACAAATTATTATAATTATTAGATGGTGTATAATCACGAACCATAAAAATAGCTCCATGAGCAGCTCCACCTACAACACAGAATCCCCCAATCCACATATGATGTGTAAATAATGAAAGTTGTGTTGCATAATCTGTAGCAATGTATGGATATGGTGGCATAGCATACATATGATGTGCTACAATAATACTTAAAGAACCCATCATTGCTAAATTAATTGCTAACTGTGCATGCCATGATGTTATTAAAATTTCATATAACCCTTTATGACCTTCACCAGTAAACGGTCCCTTATGTGCTTCTAAAATTTCTTTCATACTGTGTCCAATACCCCAATTAGTACGATACATATGACCAGCAAAAATAAATAAGACCGCTAACGCTAAATGATGATGAGCAATATCACTTAACCATAAACCACCAGTTACTGGATTTAAACCACCTTTAAATGTTAAAAAATCAGAATATTCATTCCAATTTCCACTAAAAAATGGCGTTAAACCTTTCGAAAAACTTGGGTATAATTGGCTCATTAATTCCCGATTAATTAAAAATTCATGCGGTAATGGAATTTCTTGAGGTGAAACACCAGCATCTAATAATTTATTAATTGGTAATGCAATATGAATTTGATGCCCCGACCAAGATAAACAACCTAAACCTAATAAGCCGGCTAAATGGTGATTCATCATTGATTCAGCATTTTGGAACCATTCTAATTTTGGCGCTGCTTTGTGATAATGGAACCAACCAGCAAATAACATAATTGCCGACATTGCTAGTCCACCAATTGCAATCCAATATAATTCAACTTCACTTGTGATACCTTCTGCACGCCACATTTGGAACCAACCTGAAGTTGTCCGTATACCCTGGAAATTTCCACCTACATCGCCATTTAATACTTCTTGACCAACAATCGGCCAAACAACTTGTGAACTTTGTTTAATATTAATCGGATCATTTAACCAGGCTGAATAATTAGAAAAATATGCCCCATGAAAATGCATTCCACTTATCCATAAGAAAATAATTGCTAATTGTCCAAAATGTGCACTAAAAATTTTACGAGAAACTTCTTCTAAAGAACTAGTTTGACTGTCAAAGTCATGGGCATCAGCATGTAAATTCCAAATCCATGTAGTTGTTTTTGGACCTTTTGCTAATGTACGAGAAAAATGACCCGGTTGTGCCCATTTTGCAAAACTAGTTTCGACTGCGTCTTTTTCAACAAAAACTTGTACGTTATTTGTACGACGATCGGTTGAGCTTATTGCCATTAATATTTCTCCCTGTGTGGAGACGAAAATCTATGAAACTCTCACAATGAAATAAAAAGTAATAAACAAAATGCTTTTAATTATGAGTTTTCTAATAATAATTATATATTTTTTTTTCTAATTTTGTTTAAAAAATTTTTAAACAACATAATACTCCGATTAAACAGCAAAATAAAAATTAAAACAAAAAAAATTATCTAGTAAAGCTTTGAATGAATGTAAAACTTGAACTTATCTTTAAAAAACGTTCTCAGAACGGGACTGACGAGACTCGAACTCGCAACTTCCGCCGTGACAGGGCGGTACTCTAACCAATTAAGCTACAATCCCTATTTAAAATTTAGTATTAATATTAAATCAAATTGCAAAAATCTGTCAAGTGTTAAATGTTTTAATGCAGGAGAAACAGGGATTCGAACCCTGGGTACAGTAAAAATTGTACGATAGATTAGCAATCTATTGCTTTAGACCACTCAGCCATTTCTCCTAAACTAATTAATTAAAGTTTACGTTTTTACTATAAAAGTAGATGGCTCTGGTGGGATTTGAACCTACGACCTTGGGCTTATGAGTCCCCTGCTCTAACCACTGAGCTACAGAGCCTTAAACTACTTTACTAAGTCCAATAATATCATAAAAAAGCAAATAATAATAATTTTTTAAGAATCAACTTCGAAAATTTATAAGTTTAATTAAGATTAGTATTATAATTTTAAGATACTAATTATAGGTTATATTTTATGAACGATTTTTGGACAAACATTTCAAGATACCCTCGATTTTTTATTAGTAGTTTAGCTGGATTAATTTTGATAATTTTAGCACCATTTAAAAATTTATTCAAAATTCCAAAACTACGGATTTTTTTAATTAGTAGTTTTTTCCTATTTTGTTTATCGTTATATTTAATTATTCAAAATATGATTGGGTTATAAAACGAATTTTTCATTTAACTGGGTCGGGTTGGATTCGAACCAACGTAGCATAACGCAACGGATTTACAATCCGCCTCCTTTAACCACTCGGACACCGACCCTTTAATTTATTAAATATATCTTAACATAAGTAAAATTAAAAAACAATATTAGAATTATCTTTTAATTTTAATGTTGTTTTTTAATAAAATGATATGATATAATAATTTTATAGGGTAATTAACTCAGCGGTAGAGTGTCTGCCTTACAAGCAGAAGGTCACAGGTTCAAATCCTGTATTACCCACCGTTTGATTATGGGCCTATCGTCTAATGGATTAGGACACAAATCTTCTAAATTTGGAATGTAGGTTCAATTCCTACTGGGCCTATTATATTTTACAGATGATTACTATTGCGGTTTAATTACAGTCCTAGAAGTTCAATTATTTAAAAATAATCAAAAAGCATGAGTAGCAGAGATTCGGCTTGCTGAAGAATTGTTTCATTATCTTTATCTCTTTATGTTTGAAGATTTATTTAAAAACAAGTTAACGAAAGATCAATTCCAAGTTTTATTTGAAATTATTCAAGTTTTTAGTTCTATAAATATTGAAAAAGTATTTTAGGTACGAGAATTTATTCCATCTAAAATTTCCAACCAACAAAAAACTATTATTAAAAAATATTTTATTCAGGCAATTGGATTATTACAAAAAAATGATTTATTGGACTATTTAACTTAATTCCTCTATCTACTATTTAGATAAATTACATCACTAAATTTTTCTGTAACATTTAATTCCCATGCACTTCCATTAGTGTCGGTGCCTGAAAAATTCATAATCGCGTTGGTTACTGTAGGTTTTTCTGGAATCCCAACATCCGATAAATTATAGAGAGCTAAGACATTTTCCGGAGACTGAGGTAAATTATCTGATTTAATTTATGGTATTACTTTCTGAACCTAACTCAAGTTGATCAAAAAAATCATTTATGGTAGTCTTATTTTGGCTAACATTAACAATTTCTAAATTATTCAGGGCCTCTGAGAGTTTAAACCTGTCAAGAAAACCTATGCGCTTTAGGTTTTCGCCTATCTCTAAAGTCGACATATTTTTCCAATCAACTTTTTCCGATAACACAGAATTTATTACGACCCCAAATAATTTTGATCTGTTTTTGTTTGATTTGTGATTTTGCTTCATTTTCATTCTCCATTAAATATCTTCTCTAATCCAATAAAGGATTATTCTTAAGCTTTGCCAAAGGCAAAGAACAAGCCAGCTTAAGAATAATCCTTTACGCATATATATATATTATATGCGTAAAGGATTATTTTTGTATAACAGGCATTTTAACCTATTATATCAAGGGATTAGCTATACAAGGTCAAGCCCAAATTTGTACAAATTCACTTATCCAAAGTTTTATTTACTTATCCAAGTTTTATGGCAAAATATGAAATCGCAAAAACTGTTATAGATAAATGTAATACTGATATTATAGATATGTCATTGCTAGAACCTATAACCAAAGCAGAACACGTAAGCGAATGCCTTAATAAGGAGTTATCAGCTTATGGTTTAAATACATTCGTATCCCCTGATAAAACATCTGTATTTATTGATGATCAAGGAATGAGCCAAGTCATCAATTATTTCGAAGGGACTGGATATCAACCCGTAGTCACAGAAAAACATGTGGAGCGTGTTAAAAACATAATAGAATCAGCTGATAAAGAAAATATACCCTTACTGTGGTCTCAAGCAGGATTTAAAAAACGTTATTACAACTTCAAACAAGTAGGATTCAACGGTGCTAATTTGCTCAACGTTCTCAATCTTAACACGTTAAATGCTGCTGCAGCAACCTTATCACCTACAGGTGCGGTCACTCTATCACTCAGTGGTGTTGTAGCATTAAGCTGGACAGGTAGCATGTTTTTTTCAACGTTAGAAAACTACATACCTAATGACTTTGTTAAGACCAAAGCAATTATTAAAGGTTCAAAATTTGCAATCGCTATCCCAATAAGATTAGTTGAGCACACTACTAATGCGATACTTGGTACTGCTGAGAATTGTACAATCGGCGTTCAATTACCAATAAATGTAACAGATAAATTTAACGTAGCAGATGGACCCCGAATAAAAGATATTAAAAAATTAAAAAAACCAGTAGGTGAGTTCCTTTATAAATTTGGTAAGAAGCACTTCCCAGACGCATTTTAAAAGTAGATAGTAATTTCAAAGAATATTAATTATTCTTTGAAATTAATTATGGGTAAACTCATTAACTCTTCACTCAATAAACTTGCTAATTTTATTTTTATAAAGTTAGGTGAATAATTTATATGTGTACTTAAATCACTAGTATATAATTCTTTTATGCCAAACTCTTTTAACCAATCTTCTGGTAAATTAATGTCATTAAACTTTCCATTAGTGAATACCTCTTTTAAACCTAAGTACTTTAAATGAATAGTCCAAATCAGATTCCAATTCTTAGTATTCACTGTTTTAATCCAGGGTATTACACTTACTGGCCAAATTACGTTCCCAAGACTCTTACCACTTAAAGTCCAAAGTCTCCAGCGGTCCACACTTAGAACCGATAAGTCTGGACAATTATTTGAAAATACAACAACATGTATATCCCCGATCTGAATCTCTTTATGCTTACCTCCAAAAGTTGTTTCTAAATAACCAGATTTTACATCTTCCATTAAGGCAGTTGCAGATAATATCTTTCCCATATCTGATGCACGTGGAAAATCAAAAAGCAGTACTTTTGGATCCTTGTAGTATTTCATGCGATAATTCTTAATTTTTTTTATAACAGTCAGCTCTATCCTATCTAAATTATCTATCTTCATTAATATACCCTCTGTGGGAGCTACCGAAACGTAGGCTCGCGCAAAAGAAGATTTACCAGTATTCCCAACTGGATCAATAATCTAATCCACTGTACGATCATCTGGTACCCTACCTAATAATTCCTTTTTTACAAATTCTTGCCATCTATAAGGAGTTTTCAAAACTTTATTCAATTGTGGTTTCTTCTCTAAAAAATCTATATTCCACTCGTGCTTGCAAATTCTACCTGAATACTCAGGCAAAATAAACTCAGATGCTTTCTCACAGTACTCTTTCATACTTTCGTAATTAAATTGTATTTGTACGCTTACATGTCCGCCTATCACCCCCTCAAGTCCCTCTAAAAGCTTCCGTTTCGTACAGATAGTCCTCATTTCAATTGCTAATTGATAATGAGGAATTCTACTTTATTAACCTCGGTTCTGTTGGACCAAAAATGTTTTTGGTAGTTTACTCTGTTAGCAAATTTTTTAGCTTGTTTGTTAAGACTAGGCTTTGACCGAATCGAACTACTTACTACACCTTTTACTTCTACAGGAGTGATATGGGAAAATTTGCCACATCCATCAACTACAAAGTCAAGACCTGTAACGTTAGGCCCATAGCCGCCACGTCGAGTATTTCCGACGCATCTGACCTTCAAGGGCTGAAATAGCTTCTCGAGTTGTTGAAGCTATACAATTATCACATTCCGTTGATAGACTCTTAAATCGTTCAAAAGAACACTCAAAGTTACTATCGTTAATAATGGATGCTCATCGGTTGACTTTATTAAACACTAGTTGTAAATCGACTTCGCCATTTTTGACAAATTCTGCTGCTTGTATCTGAGTTGGCATTGCATCATGAGTCATTTCATTTGTATTTAAGAAGTGAGCGCTAAACTGAGATCTACATTGACCGTCTGGTTTCGGTTTTCCAAAAGAAAGTTATTTGCTGCTTCAAGATGCGGTATCTGTGGCACTTGATTTGCTGGTGGTTGGAACCCATGAGACTGCTGCAGTATAAATTATCTAGTTAGTCTAACCATATAAAATAGTTGACTAATAAAAATTGTTGTCTCATATAATTTCAAAGTAAGATAATGTTGTGACTTTGCCAATTAACGAAGAAGTAAGTTGTTTCAATTCAATATATAAAGTTTTTACCCAGTGGGAATTGATTCAACCAAAGTTTCATAAAGTACCTTCTCTAGAGTCCGTAACACTATCTAAGTCAAAAATTTGGAATTCAAAAAAATGTATCGAAGTCAATACTTTTGACAATATTTCTAAAATTATCCATGACTTGGGAGATTAAAAAATTTTAACAAATTCAAAATTACAATTAGAATTCTGAAACTAATTGTAATTTTATTTCTAACGAGCATAATTGTATTCCGAGAAATATTTTTTTTCAGCTTCAGCACTCAAACCTGCCTATTTTTTGAATGATTTTTAGCTAAAGTTAATATATATCGAACAATTTTAAGAGTTGTCTTTTATCAATGTGAGGGCCTTTTAAGTCAAATCGGCCTTGGTAATTTAACCGACCTGACTTTTTTCCCTTATTTCTTTGAAAACCCTAGTTTTGACGATTTTATTTAATAAATTCTCTAAATCATGATTACAGACCAAACCACTTTTTTTATTGACATTCCAAACGAACACAAGCTTTTTTTAATAATTAATATAAAGAGCTATTCGTATCTTTAAATTAATCTAGGTAGAGCAGCTTTTATTAATTTCTTACAAAGCTTACATGTAATCGAATCACGTTTGGCTAAACGTTTATGATCTGTCCAAGCTTCCTTTCAACTTATCTTTTCTTCATATTTTTGTTTAGTGATACTTCATTTTTAAAGAACTCAATATAATTGCTGTCTAAGTTGATCATTTAATTTTAAGCGATCTTTATTTCGTAATATCAACTCGGTAGTGAAAACAAAAATGTCATAAATACTTGAACGATGTATCCTAATCTAAACTAAAAATACTAATTTTTATTCCTATTAAGGATTTTAATATTATGAGAGAATTGAAAATGGAACATTTGATTTGACCATTGTATTTGTAAATGATGTTCGGTAATTTTGAGAACCTGTTCCAGCTGGAATTAAATGACCAATGATTATATTTTCTTTTAATCCTCTCAACCAATCAATTCGTCCTTCAATTGCTGATCTTGTTAAAACACGTGTTGTTTCTTGAAAACTTGCTGCTGAAATAAAACTTGGATTATTTAATGCTGCTTTTGTAATTCCTAATAATAAAGGAATATAATAAGCAATTTGTTTTTTCTCAGATCCAATAATTTGATTAATATATTGAATATGATATAAATCAATGACTTCCCGGCGTGACAATGGTGTATCTCCTTCATAAGTAATCAAAACTTTTGTTGTTAACTGTTTAATAATAACCTCTAAATGTTTATCGTTAATTGTAACACCTTGCGATTGATAAACTGATTGGACTGAGTTTAAGATAAATAGTTGAACTTTTTTAAAACTTTTATAACTTCCTTCATAATTA